TCATCTCTTTAAAGCACTAGAGGACTATATAATCTTCATAAGTGTTCAAAAAGGGGCAAGTGTTGGTTATTTAGGAAAATCATTTGTATAGATGGTACAGCACACACACACACACACACACACACACACACACACTGCCATTAACTGTGTAGGATGTATTACTGCCAGGATACTTTCAATTTCCTTTGTACTGTTAAAGAATTGAAATCAATATCCTTATTTAGATGATTCTAATGGTCTTCAGTAAGACTTTCATAATTAAACAAGAGATTTTTTTCTTACAAAGGAGAAAGACAAAAATTAAACACATGAAATAAACAAAAAACAAAAACAGGCAACTCAACCAGAACCAGAGCTTCTAGAGAAGCAGATTCAAGGTTTAGTGAAAATTATTTCTCATCAGACACTTTGGCTCCCTCACCTGTCGGAGTAGCAGTCTTTAAAAGAAAAGAAAGTTTGTGTTTGAAAACAAGCTGTGTGTTAAATAATATGCAGATAATTGCAGAAGAAAGAAAGTTACAGTAACTTTAATTAAAACTTCACACTTACAAGGTGATTTTTTATTATTTAAGTTTAATTGGAGTTCTCAAAAGTTACTTAAGAAAAAAATGAATCAAGAAGACCTGTTCATTGTATTTATTTGGAAGAAAGATGGTTCCACAGTATTATGCACATTTTGTAAACAGCGTCAGCGAACCTGCACACAAAAGGTTAAATGTTTGCAGGCCATTCTTTCTTTTGCCTCAAAGATCAGAGACAAATTACTATTTTTATTTTACATTCCCTTGATGAGGATAATGATAAACAGCTGCTACTTCAGTGCTTTGACTGCAGAGAATCCAATTGCAATCCTATAATTTAAACAAAAGGGAAAAAATACATAGTCATACACAGCATATATCCAGAAAAGAGCAAGAGAATTTGGTTAGGGCTGGGGTTAGAGAGAAGGGGAGATTTGCTGTCTGCAATTACTTGGTTAGAAGAAAAATTCCATCTACATACATTTTCCCATTCATCTTAGCCATATAAGAGGAGGCAATTATGACTTCTTTCTCAAATCAAAAGAAATCAAATTTGCATTCTGAATTCTATGCTTCTCCATCCTGTCCACTCTATTACAAGAATAGTAAAGGTTTGCAAGAATAGTAAAAGTTTCCATGTGACTACATGTCTCCTGGTATTTCCATAACTTAAAGAGAATTTCAGATTATTTGACAGATTTATTAGGAATGCCTCTACTTTTTTTTTTTTTGGTCAGTCATGAACTCTGGGCCTGGGCGCTGTCCCTCAGCTCTTCAGCTCAAGGCGAGTGCTCTACCACTTGAGTCACAGCGCCACTTCTGGTTTTCTATTGGGTTTATTGGAGATAAGAGTCTCACAGAGGGCTGGGAAGGTGGCTCAGTGGTAGAGTGCTTGCCTTGCATGCTCAAGGCCCTGGGTTTGATTCCTCAGCACCACATAAGCAAAAAGAAAAAAGCCAGAAGTGGCGCTGTGGCTCAAGTGGTAGAGCGCTAGCCTTGAGCTGAAGAGCTGAGGGACAGCGTCCAGGCCCAGAGTTCAGGCCCCACGACCAGACCCAAAAAAAAAAAAAAAAGAGTCTCACGGAGTTTCCTGCCCAGGCTGGCTTTGAACCATGATCCTCAGATCTCAGCCTCCTGAGAAGCTAGGATTACAGGTGTGAGCCACAAACACCCAGCTGTCTCTACTTTTTTATGTGGAGTATTGAATTAATTTTTTTATTCATCTCAACAGTTTGTCTACTAATTGATTCTAATTGTGAAAAGTGAGATCAATGCTTTTTGTACCTTTGATGGCAGCTCAAGCAGAAACATTTATGAGTCTGTCTCCTGAAAATAGCCAGGAAAAAAAAAAGGGACAAGCTGTAGGTGGATCTTAAGTTACACAGCACCAGTCTAGCAAGCTTGAGGCCCTGAGTTCAAACCCCAGTACTACCAAAATATCATCATCATCTAGCTGGGCTGGGAATTGGGATTATCGGGGCTTTGCTAGTCAGGAAAATGCAAACAATACCATTGAAGAAAAAACTGAGCCTTTCCCCAACCCTCAGAAAGGAGAAAGCAGACATCCAGCCATCACCAGTGTGTGCTGTCAAACACAGTGCCTGTGCGCAGGTGATTTCTTTTAATCTACATTCTCAGTCTCCAAGGAACATGGATTTAGGGGACCAGTTTAGAAGATGAAACGATGATGCTCTGAAGAAGTCTGTCATGACCACATTCTCAGTGGGTGAGCCTGCTAGGAGTCTGTGTGGGCTGGCCGCTGTAGAACCCAGCTTTAGCTCTCTAATGAGTTTATTGTTATATTTCCCCTCATGTTGACTTAGATATTGTAATAAGAATGATGCGGCTCTGAAGGGTGTTGGCACCTGTAATTTCAGGAACATGTGTAAAATGGATGAGTTTTCAGAGGTGGCTCCGTTCACGTGCATGGAGCCAGCGGGTTAGAGTTAGGGGTCAGGTTGCAGGGACCGGCGTGTGTGCATCGTCAGGTGTGAGGTGTGATCATTACCCCCCAATTATACTACAACTGCAGCATTTCCTCCAGTCCTGTATGAATATATTTGAAAATATCAAGTGGATCTATTGTCAGAAATACAATAACGTGGGCATGGTTGTTGCTGGGAGAGATGTGCCATGGCAAGACTTGCTGATTCTGTGTGGCAGGACAAAAGATGGGTGGAGCCGTGGGATGGAGAAACAGTTTGCCCTGCTGATAAGGAGATCAGAGCTTTGGGAAAGGGGTGAAAATGTGCACATACACACCCTCACGCATCTTCCCCTTTGGGAAGGAACCCCAAGGACTGGAACCCCAAATTCAGTCTTTTGGATATAGGGCACCCACTAATGACACACTAGAGAAAAAGCATAATAGGGAAACCAGCAAATTTCTGCCTCTGTGGAGGTGCAGAAATTAAAAGCATCATTTAATCATATGAATCTAGTTTCCACACTAGAACCTAAAGAGTAACAACCAGCTACTACTCATTGGAGAAAGAAAAGAAACATGGTTGCTTTTGTTTTGTTTTCTGCAAAAAGTTCTAGGAATTCTGATGCTCAAAAGATGATAAAGTCTTGGAAGTGGCGCTGTGGCTCAAGTGGTAGTGCGCTCACCTTGAGCTGAAGAGCTCAGGGACAGCATCCAGGTCCAGAGTTTAAGTCCTACCACCGACCAAAAAAAAAAAAAGAGAGAGAGAAAGCATTACTTTAACAACAGAAAGCTTAAACAGTCTCTTATCCTGGTCTCAAATGATTGAGCTATGAAATAATGAAAAAACACTTGTAATTTATATACACCAGAAACCTGCACCTTGTGTTCAAACTCATTATGCCTACACAGCAAGCAAAAACTAAACTATTGAATTACATAAGACTTCATTTAATTCTTCTTTTGTGACCCAAGCCCATTTGGAAGGAAGCGGAATGGGGAAGAACTATCATTTTGTTTCCTGTTGGAGCAGGACGATGTCTCAAGCACCCTGAACACTGTTAACTCTGAGGCAGGAAGTCACACACTCACGACCGCAAAACAAACAATTACCTTATTGAACTGAGAGTATACCCAGTTAATACTTCAACGAGGTATTTGCAAGTCAGAAAAGCCTGTATTTGAAGATTATACACTGCTAGCTTTGCTTTTGTTGATTTTGTAGTCTCTAAAGAAGGCCCTTCACACACTGACATTGTAGATCCAGGTATTTAGCCAAGAGGAGACTGGAGGGCTGGAAATCTGGCAGATCAAAGTGTGTACATTACCAAAGAAAAGTACTTTGTGCCCACGTTGGAAGCAATAAATTATTTCCCCCTTTACATTCATAATTAAACCTTTCCAAACACTAGAAACTAACCAGACCACTAACAATATCAACATCATGTTTTAGGCTTGGATGGTTCAACCTGACTTGAAATGGAGACCATTTGTTCTAAATTGACTTCGATGCCAAGCCAATAGGTCAGACCTTAATGATGAAGATGCCATTTCAGCCCAGCCTCTGGGTGGATAAGCCAAAATTAATTAACTCAAGTCCTACAGTATAGAAAACAGATGCTTCTCTCCTGGTGCACAAATAAATTCTTTGTGGATCGCTGTGTTCTGTTTTATTCAAAGAATAGCAAGCTGGAAGTCACAATGGTTAAGTTTTTCACAATGGAGCCAGCGCTCAGCAGTGCTGACAGAAGCATGAATTTACGTAACAGATTCCAGCCAAATGTGTGGAAGAATGAATCATCTTCTCTATCTCTTCTCTGGGCTCTAAGCCAGTGCTGGGAGATTTAGTTTTGAATCTGGTCTGACCCAAACACTGACCCAGCCCATAGCAGACCCACAAGGGCCAGGACAACAGCAGGCCACTTCTAACCCACAGAGTCCCCGGGGACCCGTCCCGAGGTGTGCATCTGTGAGCTGCGTTTGGACTCAGCTCTCTGGCCAGTTCACAGATGGCTTACCATTCGCTTGCTCTCAGGAGGTCTGTCGTTAGGTGTACTGTGTATTGGTCATGCAACTCAACATTTGTTCAGAGTTAGAATACTTGCTTTTTTGGGGGGGGGGGTCTGGTCATGGGGCCTGAACTCTGGGTCTGGGCACTGTCCCTCAGCTCTTCAGCTCAAGGCTAGCATTCTACCACTTGAGCCACAGTGCCACTTCCGGCTTTTTTCTTTTTGCTTATGTGGTGTTGAGGAATCGAACCCAGGACCTCATGCATGCAAGGCAAGCGCTCTACCACTGAGCCACCTTCCCAGCCCAGAATACTTGCTTTTTGCTAGAATGTGGAAGGCTTAAAAGTAGAATACAAACTGAAGGATTCTGACCTTTTCTTAGGTTTAACGGTGGACATTAGGATGAAGATGTTGCCCTGGGATGGTATAAACCCCAATATGCCAAGCAGAAGTTGACCCGCTTGTGTATTAATTTTCCTTTTCTCCTTTGGAGTAAATGTTGGATAATCCACGTTCTATTTGTTTCGTTTTGTTTTGCTCTGTTAGACCGAAAGCGATGAGAACGGTCAAGCAGAAAACTTCTCCATGGATCCACAGTTGGAGAGGCAAGTGGAGACCATCCGCAACCTGGTGGACTCCTACATGTCCATCATCAACAAGTGCATCCGAGACCTGATCCCCAAGACGATCATGCACCTAATGATCAATAATGTGAGTGCTTTCTAAATCACTTCCTTTTCATTTGTAACCCATCCTAGTTGAGAAATGGAGAACTTTTTCTTCCATTTATTGGTAATACTTTCTGGGTAACTGAAATAGCTATTGCCCAGGTTTATATTTTTCCCTTTACAAATGTGAGTTGGCAGACCAATGGGAGAGAACTTGCAGCTCTAGTACCGAGATGTTCTCCTGACAGTTTTCTCATGGAAGGTTCTCATGACGATTTTCCAGCCTGGGCAGGAAAGTCTGTGAGAATCTTATCTACATAAATCAGAAGAGGAGCTATGGCTCAAAATGATAGAGCCCTAGCCTTGACTACAAGAGCTCAGGGACAGCACTTAGGCCCCGAGTTCAAACCCCACAACCAACAAAAAAAAATTATATATATATATTCATTGAATCACAAAACCAGCAAGAAAACTAGATAATCTGGCTAGGCCTGTGTACACCCACATATGCTATTATTTTTTATCTGCTTAAAATAAGGAAATGGTATTTTTTTCCTGGCAAAGGGCTTGTCACCTTAGTACATTGGATTAGCTTTGCTTTTTAAAGGTCAGGATGATCTAACCAAAAATCTCCACGTCTCCCGCTATATGGGTCATTGATACAATAAATGGTGTGCACACACTCTTCCTTTCTGGTTATCTGGAGCAGTTCTGGATGTGTTGCTTACAGTGTGCGGTTCCTTTGGGTAATTAACTTTTTAAGTGCCAACAGTAATTAGGGACACTTCTCTTTCAGATAAGAAGGCAGCAGTGAGGTCTTTTGTACTGAAGTGAGACATTGGGAATTTTTATCCCGTTATTTCCTAAGAACACTTAAAAATTAACCCGGTGATGCAAGCATTACCTGTAAGAAATCAAAATCATACGGTAAAAGTGTGGAAAGAGCTCAGAACTAGAATTCAGGCAAAATCAGGATTTTTGAGCCTGGTTTGCTGCAGTGTCTGTGGACCTTGGGTGAGTCATTGATCCGCTGTGTGTCTTTGTCCTCCGTAAGTACAACACGGATCACCGTAAGCCTGTGTAACCGAACAGTTCACTCAAGAAGGCAGTATGTGGCAGTACTGTTGCATGTAGGAGTGTAAGAAATTAATATGGCTTCCTACTTAAGAAATTATAGCAAGATGCAGGTGGCTCGTGGTTGCACTCCTCGGTCGTCAGAAGGCTAAGTGGTCCCTAGGATCTCAGTTCACGGCCAGAAGAAGCAGAAAAAAGTCTCTCAGACTCCGTCTCCAAAATGAGAACCCAAGCGTGATAGCTGGAGACGTGGCTCGGGTGAGACGCCAGCGGAGTAAGCCAGCCACGCGACAGTCGCACGAGGCCCTCCGTAAACCCACACTGGAGAAAGGAAAAGCAAAACATCCGTGGGGAGTTCTTCCTGGAGATTCATTTCAGGGTCTCTGCCTTGCGTTTCTGATCTCGTGTGAACCATCCTCTGATTTTCATGCACATTCCGTGCCTTTGGTCGGCTTTGAAGTGTAAACAGCAGGTCAGCAGTGGTTGGCGGCGTGGACGCCCGCCTGCTGTTAGGCTCGGTCAGTGGCCCCGAAGCCCGAGGCCGCCCCCTGCAACGTCAGTCAGCACACGGGGCACAGCTGGCCGCGCAGACGGGGTCACAGAGGCGAGACGTCTGAAGTACCAAACAAATAGCCTCTGCATGTTTAAAATCACCCTCTTCACTTTGCTTAAGTGAATTCAGGTTGTTTTGCTGTATGTAGTATATCCAGGCACTTGCTTAGTTAAACATTTTCCTGATTAAGGATCATTTATCTTTTCACTGTTTCGCTGAGAGTCATTAGTACCACCACTGGCGCAAACGCCGCTTAGCTCTGTGCCGTATTCAATCATCAGCACAGGAAGTGGTCCTTCCTGTGTGTGACTGTGAGGACTAGCTTGACACAAGTTATTTAAAGGAGAGGGAAAATCCTGCCGCAAGTCTACCCTACGTTCACCTTCTCACACACACAAAGAAATGCTGGGGTAACTTCTCTCACTTGCTGTTTGCTTGCTTTTAATGGTATGACCTACCTCTGCTTACAGACTATTACCCCTGGAGGTAAAGATGCCTGATTGTCTTCCGAGACTTCCCATTAGCCATGAGAAAGGAAACAGCAATGAAGACCTGCTCTCCAGGGTCAAACTTGGGAGCAGAGACTCGTTAGCAACATGAAAAAAAAATATATATATATATATATATATGTATGTATGTATCTGGAGATGCTGAATTCTCACAAAATGATCCTTGCCTCTGTTTGAAACTTAACTTGTTTATACCTACCAGAAACTACATTGACATACCTAGAGTGACTGCTTTTTTTGAGCAGTGTGTGTGTGTGTGTGTGTGTGTGTGTGTGTGTGTGTGTGTGTGTGTGAACTTGAACTAAGAGCCGTGCATTCTCACTTGGATTTTTCACTCAAGGATGGAACTCTACCACTTGAGTCACAACTGTACTTCTGGCTTTTTGGTGGTTAATTGGAGATAAGAGTCTCATGAACTTCTCTTGCCCAGGCTGGCTTTGAACCTTGATTCTTAGATCTCGGCCTCCTCAGTAGCTGAGAGCACAGGCGTGAGCCACAAGCAAGTTCCCAGCCTGAGCACATTTTTTTTTCGCTCTACACAGAAAGGTAAAACGTTATATATATTCTACTTAATATATGAGATTCTGTATCTCTGAAAATAGCGATGTTTAAAAAAAAAGACACACCCTGACAGCATCTTGAAGCCCAGCATGCCTGGGCCTCTTGGTTCTTTCCAGAAAGCCCGCAGGCAGCCGCGCAGGTGCTGGGGGTTGTTTTAGATGTGAGCTGAAGAGATCTCGCACGAGGACTGGCAGCAGAGTCACAGCGAGAAAACCAGAGTCTGACTCCCAGGTCTTCACATCCGCCCTGCGAGCCCAGCCTCCGCTGGAAGGCCGAGCCCTCGCACCGGTCAGCGCGTTCATGAATGGCGGTGGCCTTCCCTCTGTGCGAGGGGAACGGCGGCCCAGCTCCTGCGGAGGGCACTCAGGCGGCTCCCCAGGCCCGGGCGTTGGTGGGCAGTTTCCTTTGAAAGTTTACAGGAGGTGCCCTGGCACTGGGCCTCCACATGGAATCATTTAAGAGGTTTAAAGCCCGGCAATAAATGCCTGCCCCAGACATACTGTAAGCCTTTGTCTATTGAAACGCAGCAGCTGCTTCACAACTTAAACATGCCAGGTAAGGGCAGCACAAAGACATGACGCCGTGCTGAGGACAGGCCGGGCCGAGCTGCCGAGGACAGGCTGGGCACCATGCTGAGCACAGGTCGGGCACCATGCTGAGGACAGGCCAGGCCAAGCTGCCAAGGACAGGACAGGCACCATGCTGAGGACAGGCCGGGCACATGCTGAGCACAGGCCGGGCACATGCTGAGGACAGGCCGGGCACCATGCTGAGCACAGGCCGGGCACATGCTGAGGACAGGCCAGGCACCATGCTGAGCACAGGCCGGGCACCATGCTGAGCACAGGCCGGGCACATGCTGAGGACAGGCCGGGCACATGCTGAGCACAGGCCGGGCACCATCCTGAACACAGGCCGGGCACCATCCTGAGCACAGGCTGGGCACCATGCTGAGGACAGGCCGGGCGCCATGCTGAGCACAGGCCGGGCACCATCCTGAGCACAGGCCGGGTGGAGCCACTGAGCACAGGCCGGGCGCCATGCTGAGCACAGGCCGGGCACCATGCTGAGGACAGGCCGGGTGGAGCCACTGAGGACATGCCGAGCAGAGCCACCGAGGACAGGCCAGGTGCCATGCTGAGGACAGGCCGGGTACCATGCTGAGGACATGCCGAGCAGAGCCACCGAGGACAGGCCGGGCGCCATGCTGAGGACAGGCCGGGTACCATGCTGAGGACATGCCGAGCAGAGCCACCGAGGACAGGCCGGGCGCCATGCTGAGGACAGGCCGGGTACCATGCTGAGGACATGCCGGGCACCATGCTGAGCACAGGACAGGCACCATGCTGAGCACAGGCTGGGTGCCATGATGAGGACAGGCCGGGTGGAGCCACTGAGGACAGGCTGGGCGCCATGCTGAGGGCAGGCTGGGCGCCATGCTGAGCACAGGCCGGGCACCATGCTGAGGACAGGCCGGGTGGAGCCGCCGAGGACAGGCTGGGCGCGGAGCACAGGCCGGGCGGAGCCGCAGTGTGTCCTTCAAGATTGTAAAGTGCAGGCGCACAAATAATACCGCATTTGGGTGGCATCTCCCGCATCGCTCCCCCCAACACAAGCTCCCACCAGAGGTGCAGAACAGCGGGATTCAGCCTTATTCTCAACATGCGGTGGCAGAATAGGCCGGAGTTCTGCCTGGACCAAGGGAGCAGCCATCTCCACGGGGACCGAGCCTGGCAGAGGCTGGAAAACTTCAGTCAGCCTCCACGGGGGGCTCGTCCAGCCCGCCCCACCCCGAGCATCGGCCCATCCACAGGCCTGGCTTTCCAGGGGGTTCATTTTACTTCAAGATTTAATTAGGGTTTGTTTAAATAGGAGAAACTGTTTTAAATCATATTCAGACCCAGGAAATATGAACTAGAATGTAAAAGCTTTTATGAATTCTTTTCAAAAGGCCAGCTATGAAAGCGAGGGCCATTTCGCACTTGGAAAGGTGCTGGCCGCCCGCCCCCCCCCCCCACACACACACACCTGCAGCCTGCTGCTCCTGGCCTTGGCACTGGACGGAAAATGAGTACCATGTGTCCTGGCTTTCAGAGCTGATTGGAACTTTAATGTGAATGAAGTAAAGTGTTATTTTTAAATGTTGGTTATTTCCAGAGCTTTGTTCTGGTGTTGAGAACCGTAAGTCTGCTTTCCATGAGGTAGCAAGGCCGCGCTCTGCTCAAAACAAAAAAATCACAACCTACCGAGACCCCAAACTCCACTCCCCACACCAGGACTCCTCACCAAGTGAACCGGTCCCCAGTATGCTAATCTTAACTGACTCTGAACTTTGGAATCATACAGTGTGTGTGTGTGTGTGTGTGTGTGTGTGTGTGTGTGTGTGTCCTGGGGCTGGAACTTAGGGCCTAGATGCTGTTCCTCTGCTTTTTTTTGTTCAAGGCTAGTGCTCTACCACTTCAGCCACGGCTCCATTTTTGTTTTTAGTTGTGGTTTTGTCAATAGGAGATAAAGAGTCTTATGCACTTTCCCACCTGGGCTGGCTTCAAATCATGATCCTCAGTTCTCAGCCTCCTGAGGAGCTAGTATTACTGATGTGCGCCATCAGTGCCCGGCTTCTGTCTAACTTTTGTCCAAGATGTGGTGTGTGAGTCCACAGAGGTTCCTTTTTGAAGAGGGCAAACTTCTGTCACCAGCAGAAGTGAACCGCCGGGAGAAGAGGGGTGTGAATAGAGACAAGAGAATGACGGGGTCCCCACGCCACAGTTCTAAGCAAGCGCCCTCCCCTGCCCTGAGCAGCACCTTCCCAGGAAGCGGTTTTTGTACACGTCCTGTGAACGAGAGGTCTTGGTGGTCCGTGTTGAGTCTTTCCCACCTACCACAGACTGTAAGTCCTGCTCTCGCTAGCAACTAAACTTGAAAACCTGCAAAAATGTCTGTTCTTTTTGTGAAGATGTGAACATGGTCTCCGTCCTAACAAAGGAGGCCCAGGATCTGAACAGATTGCAGGCTGCTAGAGAAGGGTTAAAGCAGGAATGAGGGAAACATGTGGAACATTTTTAATGACCTCACATTCCTTTACACTGAGCCGTGTGACACGGCGCGGTAATTCCTGTTTATCTAGCCGGGAGAGTTTGAGTTGGAATGAGGTTTTGTGTGTGAGAATTTCTGTGAACCCTACAAAGAAAGTATAGGTTATAAGGTGTTATAATGAAAAGCACAAATGTTGCTCCAGATTGCCCATCTACGTATGTGTAATTAGTTCATCGTGTTCTACAAGGGGTCCACGTGGCCTCTCTTGAGTCTTGATGCACAAGTGTCTGGAGACTCCCTCCTGTCCTCCTCACCCCAGCTCTGCTCCAGACTCCAGGGCAGATCACAGAACCAGGCTAGCAGGAGGAAAAAGAGTATAAAACTTGGCTGAAGTGCAAAGTTAAATGTTAACCTATGCTCTGTGTGTGAGTAACGTAACTCGATAGCTGGTCTGCCCACTTAGGTTAACCTTGTACACACAGAAGACAATCAAGAGGTGACTTTGCCTGAGCACGAGCTGTATGCTAGGTGTTGGAATCTTTTACTCATTCTTAATCCTGCAGCTTCTGCCACCATCCCTATTTTAGAATGAACCCGAGCTCCAAAGCTTAGTGAATGTTTGAGGTAGGATGCAAAGCCCGACCTGGGTCGCGGCAAGCCTGTGGCTTGGCCCTCATGGGCTAGCACCCTGCTCTCTCATGCTCGTTTTATAACATTGCCAGAGGTGGGCATAATGTGTGCAACCTTGGGATGTGGAAGACTGAAGGCAGATCATTGATTGGAATGATAAAATAGCCCTTTATTTTATTGCATGGGTTGACATTTGCTTCTCCATGCAGATTGGTTTTACATTTGCATTTAATAGATCCTAAGTGATACTCCAGCAAGATGTAAAGCTCCAGAATTGTTCAACCCAACATATGGTCAATGCCAGGAAAATTGTCTGAGTTTTAAGTTACGCCATGTATCCAAGTGCAGACATCCACCCAACAATGGAAGGTCTGAGCAGATGCCCAGGCCCCCGAGTACCTGCAAATGTGCTTAGAAGTGAGTTTAGCACTAGAGCTAAACTACACGTAACTCTTTTTGTTTGCCATTAGATTTTCTATTCTCCCACTCACCCAAATGTGAATGCTTGAGGCACCTTCGATTGCTCCTTCCTCCTTTACCTTCTCATTCAGACAGCACTGAACCTGCTGGTTTTTCCTTTGTAATATAATTCATACGTGGTAAGATTAAGCTCTTCCCATATCATGACTAATAGCCTTTTAATGAACTTGTCTCTTCCACTCTGGCAATTCTGATTTCAAACGCAGATTAATTTTCCCAGGAATTCTCCTATTGTCTCACTCACTTGCTTTTCCAAAGCCTTTTATTGTGCTCCATTGCCAAATGGATACAGTTCAAATTCTAGTCCTTAGCTTATTGGCCAAATTTATCTTCCACAACTATTAAACCTTTTACGCCATCAAACAGCTCCCAGAATAAACAGTGTATATTAGATTATTTCCACATTTAAATTACTCTTGGTTTACAAAATGTGTGCAGGGAACTCTCTGTTTTACCAAAATGAACCTATGATTTATCCAGGTTTTCTGATTTAGTCCAATAATTTGCATGTTTCAAAACATGTATATAAATATATTTTAACAAATGAAGCTATGTGTGTTAGACTGTTGGCATCTGTGAGTGATAAATTAACGTTAACCCAGGAATCTTCACATCTGACAGGTGTCCTTTGTCTGTCAGAATGTAAAACAATGACATATCCTTGCTTTTGCTTTTTGTTGAACTATCCAGTGACTCAAAGGAAGCCTTGACTTCCTCATATAACAGAGACACTGGGAAACTGACTTATCTTTCTAGGGTTAGGTAAGGTAACGTTTGTGTAACATACTTGCGGTACTCTTCTAGTAGCGATGCTCTTTGTAGCTCAGCAATAAGGTGCGTGCTGAGCATGCCCACGGCTCTGGGTTCTAACAGCCTAGAAATGATGATTTCTAAACAAACAAACAAAAGATGTGTGTGTGAGCGCTGAGCCGTCCCACGTGAGGGCAGCCCTTGGCAGCGCCAGTCATTCTGCCAGCCCTTTCTGTGTTGGTCAGTTTGTGACACTGGGTCTTCCTTTGTGTCTGCTCTGGCCTGTGGTCATCTTCTTTGTGTTTCCCTGAGTGGCTGGGGTGAGGGTCCTCGACCAGGCCCAGTCTCTGGTCAAGACGGAGCCTCAGAAACTATTTTCTGCCCACGCTGGCCACAGCTTCCCGCCCCGTCTCCACTCTGAGCCCACAGCTGGGTCAGAGGCTTGCCCCGCCCCCAGGTCCTCAGTGGCCTTTGCTTGAGCACCGCACCATGAGCCAACGGGGGCGAGCATGGAGCCGAATTTGAGGAGAACACTGGGGGCTCAGCCTAAGACTGTGTGAACTCGAGCAGGTTACTCAGACACTCCAAATCTTACAACTGAAAGCTATAAACTGCACCACCACGTGATAAGAAGCAGACAATGTGTAGAGGCGCATGGGATATACTGTTTCACTGATTCTCGTTTTCGATCTTATTTGCTTTATCTTTGCTTCAGTTGAGCCTGTCAATGTGTAAGTACATGACAGTCGGTCTGCGGCCTCCATTCCCCGTCCTCGCCTGTGGCCAGGCTCCGGTCCACACTCTCCATGAGCAGGACAGTGTCAGCCATCCTGCCTCTCTCCATTTGCTGGTTCTTTTTCAACTATATTTCTGACATGAAAACATGGCATCTTGGCCTTTGTTAAAGCGTAGTTGGTGGTATTTTTTCTTCTACCAGCTGACGTCTCAGAGCTTGTGAGAGGGCGTCAGCCTCCCTGTCCTCACGTGCTTACAAAGACTCACACGTGTGGTTCAGATTCAGTCTGGTTTTCTGTATCCATCGCATTCGTAATACCCTGTGGCCATCCTCATCACAAGTGACTGGCTTTGACTGTGATCTAGAAAACACAGTCTGTGTCTTTCATATCACAAACTTGCACATTCATATACACATCAATAGCTACAGACTATTTGAAAAATAGTCAACTTCTAGCTGGGTGACAGGGCTCATGCCTGTAACCCTAGCTACTCAGGAGGCTGAGATCTGAGGATCACAGTTCAAAGCCAGCCTGGGCAGGAAAGTCAGTGAGACCCTTATCGCCAATAAACCACCAGCAAACTGGAAGTGGCGCTGTGGCTCAAGTGGTAGAGCGCTCGCCTTGAGCTGAAGAGCTGAGGGACAGCGCCCAGGCCCAGAGTTCAAGCCCCACGACCGACCAAAAAAGAAAAGAAAAAAAACCACCTTCTTAGACATTAGCACTCAGGACCTTACTAATTTTGCGATTTGGGTGGAAACTAGCTGAGCAGGCCAAGGACAAAAAAACAGCGCCCGGCTCTCCACAGGTTTCCTCGCACCTTGGTCCTCTGTGGAGAACGCTGCTCTCACCTCCCAGAGCCTTTCCTGCCGCAGGCGCCGGGCGGCCGCGCCTGGCCCGGGAGATTGGCCCAGAGGTTGGCCCGGCCGCCGCCCGCTCCACTGGGGCCGGCTGCTCGGCTTCTCGTTGGTGCGTCTGTGTTACCCCTCAGGGTGGGCGACCTCTCGTGGTCAGATGCACCACGGGTCCCTTTGCCGGGGTAGCATCCGCGGACCTTGTCCCCAGACTCTGCACGCCCACTCAGCCCATTTTGCTTGTCTGTGGCAATGTGACAGGTGAAAGACTTCATCAACTCCGAGCTCCTGGCACAGTTGTATTCCTCAGAGGACCAGAACACCCTGATGGAGGAATCCGCGGAGCAGGCTCAGCGCCGGGGTGAGATGCTGCGGATGCACCAAGCCCTGAAGGAGGCCCTCATGATCATCGGCGACATCAACACGGCCACCGTGTCCACCCCGGCCCCGCCCCCGGTGGACGACTCGTGGATCCAGCATTCTCGCAGGTAAGGGGACGGGCTCGCCCCCGGGTGAGGGGACAGAAAGGAAAGCTGTCAGGGGCTGGGAGCGAGGGCCAGATCCACCCACCTCCTTCCAAACACGCAAAGACAGCATGCAGAACGGCGCACCACCCCGAAGCGCGGGCGCAGCTCAAAGCCACAGGAAGCTTGCAGACAAAGCTGGCAGAACGCTGCAGAACCTTCTGTGAGTGCCAAGAAAAGTGACTTATAGGATAGAACAGAAAAAAATACACTTGTGCACACGGGGCTGTCGTTTAGAATACTCCAGAACTTGCGCCTATCGTTAGCCTCACAGATGAGCAAGGGGGGAACTCGCTGTCCACCGTGTCCTCTGAATTCGCGTGAGGGTCCGGGCTGTGGCAGCAAGTCTTTGATAACTCATGGATGATGGATACAGACAGAAAGCCAGAGTGGCCAACTCAGTGTGTCTTTCTCCCCAGGTCGCCTCCTCCAAGCCCCACAACCCAGAGGAAGCCGGCCCTCAGCGTGTCCCTCACGAGGCCCGCGTCCGGCCGAGGACCGGCGCCCGCCATCCCCTCCCCGGGCCCGCACTCCGGGGCCCCCCCGGTCCCCTTCCGTCCAGGCCCTTTGCCTCCCTTCCCCAACAGCAGCGACTCATTCGGGGCCCCTCCCCAGGTGCCATCCAGGCCCACCAGGGCTCCGCCCAGCGTTCCCAGGTAAGGCCAACGCGGAGATCGGTGGGGTCGGGTCTTGGCTCTCTTCTCCTAGTGCGACAGACAAGGTTTTATTTGCAAACATCTTCCCGTGTTTGTACCTCTCAGTCTGGCAGTGGAGGGAGTGGGCGTGAGGCAGCTGCTGGCCCTGAAGACCAGGGGTCACTTGCTCAGGAAGCCTCGGGGTTACGGACTGGCACAAGTTAAGTGGGCCCAGGAAACTGAGCCCCAGTGATGGCAGTTTGGTGGAATTTGCCGGAGGCTTTGAAACAAAACAGCCTCTGCTAGGTCATGTCATAGGTCAAGTTCAGGTGCTGAGCTTTGGCATTAACAAAGAGTTCTACAAAACCACTGACAAGGAATTTTACTCATCCGCCCTCTGTCCCACGTCACTCATTTTAATGTAAACACTAAAATCCAGCTGATTAATCTGTAACTTAGACATTTTAACGTAGACATTAGAGCTGCTGGGTATCATCATTGACCTCATCTGAGACAGGTCATTGTACAGGACTGAATTTTCAGTTCTAATTGTCAGTAATGGAACTTCAACCATACATGCACCATCTAAAGAGATAGAGTGAAAAAAAAATAATACTTAAGAAAAAAGTTGTAGAAAAAAACAATATGGCAAAACAAAACGAAATGATGCGTTACTTGAAAATAAAAATATACATGGTAAACTAAAAATAAAAAGAGAGAGAGAGATAGAGTGAGTATCAGACTTTTTTTTTTTTGCCATTCCTGGGGCTCAGGGCCTGGGCGCTGTCCCTGAGCTCTTTGTGCTCAAGGCTAGTGCTCTTCTACCTGAGCCACAGCCAGCTTTTTCTGTGTATGTGGTACTGAGGAATCGAACCCAGGGCTTCAGGCAAGCACTCTACCACGGAGCCACCTTCCCAGCCAGTATCAGACATTTTTAAAGGATAAGATGAGTTCCCCCTCTCAAAATAATGAATTTGAGAAGGAAAGGAAATTAACCACATAAACTTTTTTTAATTCAGAGAATGGGGATATTTATATGCCCCTTGAAGGAAAACACAACTCCATATGTGCCATAAAGACTAACGTGACCTCACCCTTTTATTGGACTGCATACATTTTTATCTTCAAGTTGTTTAGGATAATGAAGAGAAGAGAGGTAGGATCTTACCCTAGTAAACACGGAGTCTTAAGGAATAAATGGCTGAAGAGGGGTGGGGATGTTGGAATCAGAAAACCTGGGTTAATCCCAGGTTCTGTCAACTCATTGACCTTTAAAACCAGAGTCGTTCCTCATCAATAACATAGGGCGGTGGCCAAAATCCTATTAATGAGACACTTGGAAGTTGGATAAACCGTAAAGACTCTGTTTGTGAATACTAGATCCTCTCAATCCTGCTTGGGTTTTTAATAGACTTGGCTGAGCAAAATTTCTAGTAATAATAGAACTAGTAAAATCTCTAGCTGGGCACTGGTGGCTCACACCTGTCATCCTAGCTACTCAGGAGGCTGAGATCTGAGGATCCCAGTTCAAAGCCAGCCCGGGCAGGAAGGGAGGCAGGCAGAGAGACTCTTATCTCCAATAAACTTATCTCCACAAAACTGGAAGTGACTCTGTGGCTCAAATGGTAGAGTGCTCACCTTGAGCTGAAGACCTGAGGGACAGCGCCCAGGCCCAGAGTTCAAGCCCCATGACCGACAAAAAACAAAACAAAACTTTAGTAATAATAGTCATAGCTAGCATTGGTTTAACTCTCAACCCATGTCCCCTCAACTTCGCAAGTAACATTTTGTTTAAAGCTAGCTCCAACAACCCAGGGAGCTAGGTGATTATTCACACTTCACTCACAGACACCAAGATGACGTGCCTTGCCCGGGCCCCTGCCGCAGCCCCCCCCCCCCCCCCCGTGGAAGCAGACAGTGCCTGCCGGGCTCGGTCTGTCAGCCATGATGCCGGGCGTTCCCAACCCGGTGGCGGTGGCGGACACCTTGGGTTGTGTCCTGTGCAGTGTCGGCACCCTGGCCTCAACCCCCACAAGTCAGTGTAACCACTGAAAAATGCCTCGCTGTCACCAGTGCCCCCCCCAGCAGCATGGCATGTGAAGGAATTTCTCCTCCACATCACAAACGTGAATTGCACCATCAAAGTTGCTACAGCCAAGATCAAGTTTATTGTTTTAGAAAACCGCAGATTAACTGCACAAGTGTCCACCATGTGCCAGGAAGGTGTGGAAGCCATCAAGGAGAGAGGGGTCTGAGAGTGGGAAGCAGAAGCAGCCTTGAAACCCACCATTTTGTCTGTTTAGCTATGAGAAGGAGCCAGAGCCCCCCAGTGGTACTGTCCTCGGGATGGATGTGCATGTCTTGCCTGCTCCGTTGACTGCTTTATTTCTCGGTTTCAGATAAGCTAGCTTGCCAGTCCCCTGCAGAAAAATCAATTTTCCAGTGCTAGGCTGGGTGGAGTTGCCTTTGTCCTTTTGTGTCCTGGGGGAGAAGGCTGGGTGGGAGCCCGGCAGGCCTGGGTGCAGGGCGGCCGCGGCGGCTGGGAGAGGGGAGAGCGGCCTGGAGAGCAGGCAGAGGGCGGCCGAGCAGGCAGAGGGCGCAGTCAGTTTTCAGGGGCCGGGCCCCGGGGAATTTGTAGAAGAGCAGTTGCACTATTTAAAATCTCTAGAATGCACTCAAGTTAGAACCAGACTTCACTTGATCTGGCCTTGCAAAGAGTCCCAAATTTGAAACAGAAATGAGAGTACCAGAGGAATGCTGGCTGATTGTGCTGAGCTCTCAGGATTCGATGCCAGTTCAGCCACTGGGAGGGAAATCCCTGCGGTGGGGGCAGGGGGGGGTCACCTGAGAGAGCCGGAGCGGCTGGGATCCCTGGGCCGACGCAAGCTGAGCTTTAGATGGAGAATTCTGACCACAGAAAGTCTGCTTTTAATAAAAGCCAGAGCAGGAATCTTTACCAAATACAAGCCAGAAATGAGGTTTAAGATTTCAAAAAAAAAAAAAAAAGAAGAAAGGAAAGAAAAGAAAGAAAAGGCACTGTGTTCTACTTACACACACACACACACACACACACATTCTCTTTTTTTCACACACACACACATTCTCTTTTTTTCTTCTGTGATGTGCCTTTATCTTTTCTGTTAAAAAAAAAAAACCAACTAGAATAAAAGATTAAAAGCAGGTGAGAGGCCAGATTCTCCACCATCTCCAGGAAAAACAACCGTTCATTTTCCAAGAAGGAAATTCAGGTTTTTCACCCGAGACCTTTGCTTGCTTAGGTCCTTTCACACTTGTATCTGCAAGCAGAAACTCGGGCTGTGCAGGGCAGCAGCCTGGGGCTCTGCCATGTCAACAGTAATCACAGCCCTTTCGCAGACACGGAACACTGCCACTTGACGTGGGCCTGGGCATCCATCTTTTTCTCCTGGGTACTTCCCAGCTTTGCTAGCAGACTGAATATTTGAGACCCTATTCTAAGACAATCAAAGCCTTTACAAATGGAGAGGCTGCCTTCGAAACAATGAGCACTTTGGGCTCTGCTTTTCTTAGCTGCTCAAGTTGCTCTTGGTTTATGTACCAGGAGCCTTTCTGTGAGGGACAGAAAAAAGGTAAACTTCAGGCTTTTTAAATTAATTACACCTGAATGAGGGCGTGGGGGAGGGGCCTTCAGTCCAACTGGACGCACTAGCCTGGCCTGACTCTGCCCTCAGGAAGCTCCGGGCACACGCATCTGTGATCTGTGCAGCATTTTCTATTGTCAGACATCTGCATTGTCTCCTCCCTGCTAAAATCTGTTTAGTTGCCCTGAAGGGGAGAAACTTAGAAAATCCATCCCAGCCACTTATTTCTGCGTTTAGCAGACACTACCCTCTCTTCAGAGCCCTCCTCCTCTTAATTGAATCTGCTTGAGACATTAACTGTAGTGCTGACGTAGCTATTTTCAGTTATAGTTTCTTAAGAGGAGTTAATTGGCAACTCTTGGGCCTTGACATGAACAGAATTCACTGAATCAGAGCACGTTGTTCCCGGCAGCTCGCTGGCCGGGCTGGCTTCACGGCGCTCATTTGTCTCCTCCTGGCCCCGGGCAAAGCTCTTTTGTAATAGTCAAAAGGGAACAGGGCTGGAGGCGGTCTCCAGCCAAGAAGGACGGACTCCACGTGCCTCATCGCGCAGTCTTCTGCTCACAGAAAAAAAAAGGGTGAGCATTAGAAGGACTTGGCTGTAACCACCCTTTCCCAGTCAATCTGATGGGGTCTTTGAAAAATGCAAAACCAAATCATTCAAAAGGGGCTCATGCCGGTCATCCTAGCTACTCAGGAGGCTGAGATCTGAGGATCACGGTTCAAAGCCAGCCTGGGCAGGAAAGTCCGTGAGACTCTTATCTCTAATTAATCATCTGAAAACCGGAAGTGGCGCTGTGGCTCAAGTGGTAGAGCGCTCGCCTTGAGCTGAAGAGCTGAGGGACAGCGCCCAGGCCCAGAGTTCAAGCCCCACCACCAACAACAGCAGTTACAAAAAAGAGGAGTTAGCTTTTTTACTCCAGTTCATCTATATGATGAAGACCACGAAGCTGGCCCCTTGCAAGGGTCTCTGATGAGCCCTGTAGCGGAGCGCACATCCCCCTCTGTGGCTAGCCCTGGCCAGCCCAGGCCCGCCTGGCCATTTCTCCCCGGGCCCCTCCGCTGCACACGCACAGGCCAGCCCCATCTCAATCCACAACCTCAGTCATTTCTGACTAGATCAGCCATGGAGAGATCAGGCCCTGGGGTCTCTTCTCCTCACAAAAACAGAAGCCCGTCCGTCTTCATTTTAGGGGTGGGAGCGGTGGTGTGCAGCGTCCTTCTCTTTCACCCTGTTCTCTGACAGTTGATGCGGACTCCCTCTCACCCAGGTGCAGGGCTCCTTGTCTTGTTTTGCCTCCTGAGTGTCGTGTTGGAGAACGGGCTTTAAGTGTGTCTTTGCATCCTCATATCAAGGTTTGGTGCCACGAAGGACGAAGCCGCTGAGCCCTGAAGTCATGG